AGCTCGTCGTTCTGTGGTAGGAGGGTCGCTCATTTGAGCCAACAGTGAAAGGATCGCAGTCCAAACGAGAAATGGTACTTAATTACCTGGTGCTAAAATTAAATAAATATTTCAGATTTTGCTCAAATAATAGTTGGTGACCCGGGTCACCGCCAATTGGTTCACATGTACAATGCCTAATCCGAACATGTGTCGCATCCTGATCCTTCGGCGCCTTTGAGTGCCAGTTTAACCATGCCAATCCATGCGCTAACCGAAACCCTCGGCGACGAAGTAAACATCGGCAACTCCAGATCCTTGATACGTTTCTTTATGGGTCGTCGGTCTTCTCGGTGCTCTCGTCGTTCATGGTATCCTCGCTGTCCTCGTCGGGCATCCCGCCCTCGTTGTCTACGCTCACGACGTCGTCCACCGGTTTCGTCACTTCCTCATCGCTTGAGTCGCCTACGCCGCTACTTGATTCGACGCTGTCGTCCTGCAGTCCGTAATGGCCATGTCCATTTCGCTAACCATAACTCAACTCACTCAAATTACTGCTGCCGTTACACGATGGAGGCCTGTCATGCCTCGCTCGTCTCGGTGATGACCGGCGACTATTATCACGCCGACCACCTTGAACTGCTCGGTGGTCGTGCACGCTTCGGCTTCGTCCTCGTTGGTTACGCGTACCGCGTTGCCGACTCGCACTGCGTCCGCCATTTCGCCGTGGTTGTATCGCGTTTCTCCGATCATGATCGTCATCCTAGGAATGCATCGCGGGGCTCCATGCTCCTTGTTCTGCCCCGGTCGACTGTCATCACGATGCACCTGCCGTCCGTCATCTGACTACTCTTCGCCCCCGTGCAGCGGTCTCCCCATCGCTGCTGTCAAGTGCTTCAAGTTTTCTTCGAGCGCCGCCAATTCCTAGGAGTTGGCACGTCCCGCACCACCAGTCGTACTCATCGTAGATTCTGTCGTATCGTTGGCTCATCTCGTGTTGTTCTGATTTGCCGCCGACGTCGAGCTCGTCGTCGCCAGTGCCTCTGCACCAGACTCTATCCGTACAATCAGGACATTCAGCCCGACGTCGAGCTCGTCGTCGCCAGTGCCTCTGTACCAGCAGACTCTATCCGTACAATCAGGACATTCAGGCTGAATGTCCAAATCAATGGGAGGGCTGAATTTCAGCCCTCCCATTGATTTGCTGATCGCTGCCGTTGCCGTTGCCGTGATGACAGCGTCCGAACATTCCTTTGCCTCGTCGTCGGCCTTCATCTTGGCTGTTCTCGGCACCTGCTCGTTCTCACCGTTATCATATCGAGCTGCCGTCCGTCGTCGTCATCGTCATCATTTTTGGACTCGGCACGCTCGTCTACTTTTTCCGGGCCGTCACCGTTCTCACCTCCACAATAATTTCGAGACCTTCATGTCGACTAGGTTTGGTCACGCCTGCTATCAGCATCATCGCCTTCGCCACCGAAGATCTAGTTGTCATTGGAGTCGTCGCCGAAGTGTTTCTTTTCGTTGAAGGTCTCTGTATGACCACCCCGTTACAAGTCTTCGTAACGGCTGCTTTCCGGTCGGTCGTCAGCCACAGTGCTGTGCCGGTCGTCGTCCAGCCCCGCATGTAGAAAGTCTTCATCACACACGTGCAGGTCACTGGAAAATAGTTGGAACCTTCGTTTCTATTTATTGACAACTAATCTATATCGAACTTCTAATAGCGGCTAACGGCGTAGTTCTCACCGTCCGACTCGTTCTTCGTTCCTCGTTCGGGTCGCCACCACCGTCCGTGCAATTCATCGACAAGCTGCCCAGGTCCCACGCCAACACTCTCGCTCACTCCGTAATCCACAAATTTCCCGTAGTGGCGTCGTTCGTTCTTGTGCCGCCATGAGCTTCCACCCGTCGCCGTCTTGTTCGTCTAGTAACAACTAATACAATGACGCGTCCGGCACGGTCTTCGTTCCTCGCTCTTCGTTCGTCTTTCTGCACTAGTTGAAGCCACCTCTCCGTCGCCCACCGCAAAGTTGGCAGTCTGTTCACTTCGCTGCAGATTTCACTGTGAGCGCCTGACCGCCGTCCGCGTTCCCCGCGATCTTCGCTTGCTCATCTTCTTCAACCACTATCGTCTTCCGCGTGAAGACTGTGCCGCGCATCACGGTTAGTCGGCGGTCAGGATCACACACGGGCGATCTTTCCAAACCGTACGACTCTTCATCTGGCCTCTGAACGGATACGGCAGCTGACCGTTCGCTCACGGTTTCGTCTCGTCCGAGTCTGCCGCGGCCCGCATCGTCCTGTTTGTCGTCATCACTGGTCCTCGTTAACGACATCCTGCTACAGTTCCTTATTGTCGCTCTCAGGCTGAGAGTCTCAGCCAGCGACAACTTAAGGTCAAACGTGCGAGTAGCATTTATTGATATTCGCTCTTAGCGGCTTCGACTCGTGCTTCGAGAAAAAAAACGCGAATCAATAGTTGTATCCGGAATGCAATCTCTATTTTGTGTTCTTCGTCTCCAAATTGACGTTTTTGGTACTTCACTTAAGATTGATAGAACTTGACGTATTTCGAGTGGTGCGGAGGGTGGACTAACCACAGAAAATAAGGCTTCAACGCTATACATTGGTTGCTTAAAAAGCTTTCGCGATAGGAGTAGAGTGTGTCGAGTTGGTGCCAGCTAGCTGCAGATGAAAATTTGTATCTCCATCGAGTGAGGTTCCTGTTTGGTTTAGTTCTCCAATGGATTTTCAAATGGACGGATTTATCCGCACTTGCGTCTTGTGCCGTGTTCGTAATTTCCACTGAAGTGGTCATTCCTGATGTAGGGCTGTCGTAATAAGTTTAAGCATCATCAAGACAGTCAACCTAAACATTATCCGACTCATTGTTTAGCTTTTTATGCCCAAGCGCCTTGTGATCTGGATTGATCTGTTGACTGCCGTTTTACTTTGGGCTTTCACAGCGTTAATGTGGCTGGAAGGTCATTATCTTCGCTCCTACCAGTTTACTTTCCGCCTGATAGCTCACCGCTCTGTCAGTATGACTGACAAGATTCTGATCCCACTTGGCCTGGATCACCCTAGCCTTCTCTAACTGGAATATTTTCGTGGTCGAATTCGTGCGTCAATCACAACAAACACCCTACCAACACTTTGATCTACAGTGCAGTCTTTTTTTTTTTGGGTAGTTCCTCGTCAGCAGGACCACTCCGTCCCGGTTGGAGAGGTACATCGATGTATAAAGAGTCAAGTGATTGTGAATGTAAGGTGAGTAAGATGTCAACTTTATTGACTTGAGCTTTTGAAAACGTTTCGAGCAGGTCACCAACATCATCTTCGTTAATCTAACCGAAGGGACTATGGCACCCTAGGTGTGTGATGAGCATATCAAGGATCAATCACAACGCCAGCGACTCATGTTTTCTTGCGTAGTTCAAAACTCTGCATGATTCGAAAAAACATCTTAACTGCAGATCAATTAGATCGTCGGACGTAGTGGCAAAGCTTGATTTCAAGTCGCAGATACTGCTTACAGAGCTCTAAGGAATTATCAGAACCATGGTTCTGGGCGGGACATTTTAGGCGTGGATCAAACTCCGCTAAAACTACATGTTTATCAAATCTCAGGAAAATATCTAAATTGAACTCAAAATTTTAGCACAATGAACTGCGAATATTTTGATAAGTACCACAAGGTTCTATATCTAATAGAATTTAGTAAAGGTGTAGCCTCTTTTGAAATATCTATATCAGTATTACAAGTCAGCTTTGTTCTGCGGGTACTAGTATTTACAATACCTAACGTAGTCATTGTGTTAGGTAGTAATAGACTGAGGAGGCTTTTGTACTGTTCAGCAAAAATGAAAAAGTGACTATTGTTAGCTAGAGCTTCTAGGACGTCTAAACTCTCTCGTGTCGACTCCTTTTGTTTTGTCACTACATTCCGTACCATGATCTTGTTTAGTCACTCAATTCCGTTACGTGATCTTGTTTAGTCACTAAAAAGCGTCCCGTAAGCTTACCGTAAACTGTACCCAATTTTAGGTACCATAGTTTTACATGTCCATAAGCGTACAGTAATAATATGTACGGATACCGTACTTGAGACGTTTCCGGGATACCACTTATAATCCTATTTATGGGAATTCCTGAGGCGAAATGTACCATTACAATGGATCATAGTTTATTCTTTGAGTAGTGATAGAATAGTGATAGCGTGCGATATCCCCGGCAACTTTCATTAGCCAGTTCCCTTATTTCAGCCAAACTCGTTTCAGAGCCCAAATGGTCGGTATAGAGAGAAGAAACGCGGACGAAGCCAGTCGAGTCAATCCATTTACCTGCGTTCATGAAGAAAATATAAGCCATATCTTACATGCATTAATAATCTCGTGTTTCCCGATAAAAAAATAGATCAAAGAAGCACGACAATCGCTTACTGTTTTGCGATATTACTTAAAACGCTAGATCAACTCCTAATCTACAAACTAAATTACTCTAGACTTTGAAACGCCTTGCTGTTTTCGAATATCGGAAATTTAATTTGTATTCCTAATAAAAATGTATCTCTCTAATGCACGCCAGTAAGACCATTTACACACTGTAGCTGATGAAGTGTGATTCGAAAAAACGTAAAATTTGCTTAATGCCAGAAGCGTTTGAGCGGATACAGTTCCGAAATCTGCTTTCGGAGGAGGGAGGTGCCTCGGTTGAGATCTATCCCTGGCGTAGGCTGAGCTAACGAAGTAACATGCTGCCATGTGTTTTGGTTGCTTGGTTTTTTTTTTTTCACAGGTAACTCCAGGTGGAAGAACATTATGCGTTTTTTATTTAAGACTTACGACCAAATAATATCTCCTGAACGTTACCCAGGACATTAGCACACAAAATGAGATCGATTTTCCTAGAAGTTTGACTCTCTCTTATAAGCCAAATAAGCAAGTCTATTGAATTGAAATGCTAATCAACCTTTCCTTTACTTGGGTTTTGCTCTCTCCTGGTACACAAGGCTCAACGATTTAGAAATTGTTCTTTGCGGTCAGGACGTTATGGAGGAGTACGCTCTCAGCCATCGATTTCGACATCTTTTCGCCCCTTACAGCGTAATTATACATCTTCAGGTACTTCACGAGAGCGTCCCAGTTCTGATGCTGCGTAGCCGCCTGTCTCGAAGTAATCCCCATTTCTCTGGCGAGCGCCTGTACGTCCATTCCTTGGTTAAGCCGGGGCATCAACCAATCTCTCACAGTCTCCGCCTTCGATCGAGAAATTCCGTAAATGGTTGACCACGATCTTTCTTCACCATTGCCGCCACTGGGTGCAACACGAAGAGAGCGAGTCGGGCGGTTATTTTCGACAGTTCCGGTTAAATTCATCTCCCCCTTTGAAGTCGAGTACGTGGCCGTCGCTCCTCCATAGGTCAGGATCGCAGTTGCAGCAACCAGTAGGACAAAGTAGGCTCGCATTGGTGGTCCTCTTGACTTGTTAATCCGGGGGTGGAGAGAAAATTGAGAATGAGATTGGAGTTGGCACTTGTTCTTCGGTTTCCTACAAATGGGGTTCAATGGTGATTGCTGATTTACTGGACGTGAGGCCCTCACGTCCAGTAAATCACTGAGGGATCAATTTGTAAACTGTATCTTATGTTGATTAGACACATATCCATAAAACGATGTGGTAAATCGTATAAGAGCGGTATTGCTGACGTATTAGGCTCGGCTTGAATCTTCAACTTAAGAAAATTTAAATGCGCTAAGTGTTGACACACGGTTACAAAACAAATCCACCGGGTCCTATTTGCCGGTAATCGGTAGCACAAGTACACTGTCGCTACATACACGCATATTGTTATTAATAGTGAACGACGCCTCTTTCAAGGACTCCTATTTTCGATCAACCAAATGCAAATCGTAGGTTTCCAAAGATTACGCTACAGTTTGAAAGTTATTACAGAAGCCCACTCAATAAGCGTGTTGATAAATTACCGTATCATTGGAAAATCATAGCAATCTTGTGGTTTGCAAAATGTATCTTCTATTCATGTGATCAGATATAAAGGGGTATATGAGGTTCAAGCTAGGTTTATTCAGGGGGACTTCTGGATAGCGACGTGGATGGTCAATCGATTGAGCGAACGCGCAACACGATTTCTTGCGACGTGTAGACCAAACGGCTCTTGCTAGAGATACCGGAAAAAAACACGAAACAGCAGATCGTGTTTTTTATCTTGGCCGTGCTTTGCCAAAGAGGGCTGCACTCTAACAACATCACGTCTCTAAAAATAGAGAAATCTGCAGAACGCACAGCAACACCTTCACAGTACAACACCGTAGCAGCAGATACCACAGCACCGCGATAAAACAGAACACGAAATCATTTTCATTATTACGGAGACGAAGCAACGGCTACAGCACTCAAAACAACAGCGCATACACTTACGGCTACACCACTCACAGCAGCCACGCAATAAAAAAAACGTATACCAACAGAATGGTCTTGTAACGGGGTACGTAGCACTAAGTGTACCCTGGTTACATGAAGTGTGACACTTCACACTTCAGGAGTATGACATGTCATACTCCGGAATATTTGGTACAAGGTACCAAGGTCATTCAAAACCAACCATTGGTTAAATGACATTGCATTTCTATAGGTAACTGATAGTTTGTATTAACCACAAACTTAACCTACCTATAAATATACTCAGTTTACAATCTACCTTATTTAGGTCACTTCGCTCTCTTTAATTAAAGAGGGGACCTGTGAACTGCCGTTCACTGAGAGTTTGTATACTCTCGGAAGATAACTTCCTCTAGCGCAAGGTGCTGTGTGACCCCGTCACACTTGGTAGCACTTGTAGTCAATCCACGCCATCGCGGGTAGACTACCTGAACCTCCGAAGTTCGTTGCCATGGATAGGAACGACTTCTCCCATATGAACGACTCTCAGTTCGAGTCGGTTCGGAAGATGGCAGGCATCTTCGGGATGGAGGCCCTGCAGAGCCTGGTGGTATCAACACCGGCTGAGCAGCTCGAGCGCGTCAATGCATTCGACGCGTACGAGCAGGGCCTCATCGCGCATGTGCGGGAGAACCTGCAGGCTCCGGCGGCGGGAGCAAACCCGCCTCACCCGAAGCCAATACGGCTGAAGGTAAAGCCGTATGAAGGGAAGGAAGGCGAGAACCTTCACTTCTGGGTCCGAGAAGTAGAGCTCGCGATGGACGCGGCTCTGATCTCGACCGAGCAACTGCGTGTTGCTTTTGCACTCTCCAACCTTAGCGGTCGTGCTAAGAGTTGGGTGTACACTCGGGAAGCGACATCCCCTGGATGTTTCACATCCTGGGCTCAGCTGTGCCAACAGCTCCGAGCCGCGTTCCTCCCGGCGAACTACGAGTACCGCCAGCGTTCGCGCTTCCTCGCGTGTAAACAAGGAAGACGCGAACTGCACGAGTATGTGCAAGAGATACGGGAGCTCACGGCGTCCCTAGTGGGAAACCCACTCAATGAACACATCAAGATGACTGTGTTCATGGACGGCCTTCGAGTGGGCCCCGCACGCACTCAGCTGTTCCGGGTGCAGGCAAGCACCCTTGAAGAGGCGATTCAAGTGGCTCTTCAAGAAGAATACAGCCATCGCCAGGCGCGTACGCCGGCCTCAGCGTGGCCTGGGAGTTCCTTGTCGGCTCCCGGTCGAACAAGCCCCAACGGACCAGTTCCCATGGAACTCGGGTCCGCCGAACAGCGTGACATCCGCTGCTTCGGCTGTGGGAAGATGGGCCACTTCAAGCGCGACTGTCCCGCGGAAAGACTCCGCAGACGGTCCTTCCCCAAGCCCGTCCTCAAGGGTCGCTGGCAGAAGCCAGGATCCCGGGGACAGGGGAACGCAGGGAACCAGTAGGGGCGGGGCGCCCTACTGGGGAAGAACTAAGTCTTCGTGATGGGTGCGCGGGTGGCGTGTACCACGGGGACTTAGCCCCTGAGAGTCTTCGCACTCTCGAACAGGCGAAGAGCAGCGGCGGGTTGCTCGTAGTACACGGATGTGTACGGGGGTACGATCACCCCTTTAGAATCTTGATTGACTCTGGGGCGTCGAAGAATTTCGCACGCCGCCAGACGGTTGCTCGTAACAGCAACAAGTTGTCCGAAGCTTTGCGAGAAAGCAAGGGCAACGGGACGGTGTCAGTGCGACTGGCCGACGGGAAGGTCGTCACTGTCCCCCAACGTCCAAGTGGATCTGGCTGTCAAGTTTGAAGACTTTGACAGCCTCGAACAGTTCACTGTTCTCGATATGGATCCATATGATATGATCCTGGGCATGCCCTGGCTTGAGAAGCACGAGCCCTGGATCGACTGGCGAGGCAAGGCAATCGGTGCCAGCCGCCCTGCGCAGTCCGACAGAGCATTGGTGAGTCATGTTCCCACCTCTGTCAGGACCCGGGGCGCCCGCGAGGGCTGCCAGGGTACCAAAGCATCCGGCAGATGCTTGGGAGTCGTCGACGTATATGACGACTCCGAGGATGTTTTGATGGTGGCCGCGCCCAGAAGAGGCGCCGGCCAAGTGGGTAACTTAGGTCCACAGGCGGGTAACTTAGTTCCGCAGACAGCTGCAGCTGTCATGAACACTGAGAACAGCGTGTTCAGAGTGGGTAACAGAGTTCCACTCACGGTCGCCCAGACCATAACTGAAGAGGAAGACGTCGGATACGCTTCCTGTGTGGGTAACACAGTGCCACACGCGGTCGCCCAGACCTTAACTGAAGAGGAAGGCGTTGAACACGCTTCCTGTGTGGGTACAACAGTACCACACGAGGCCACGAGTGCCTCGGATGTCGTAGCGACGACATCCCTAGACGTGGGCAGCAAAGCTCCCCGTCACAGAAGCCGTCGGCAAAGACGCCGCCGCCGCCTCAAGTCGGATCCGAACTTCGTTCCGATCGACGTCGCTTCAAGCGACTCGGAGTCCAGGGCCCGGGCTCCTCCGACAAGGCCGGTGGAAGAGTGCTATCACATCTTCGATAGCGAGACGGGTTTACCCGTCAAGGCATCTGGTGTCCACTTGAAACAGTTGCCAGAGGTTGCAGAGATACTGAACCTCGAGGAAATGACGGCTGAGTCTTTCCTGGCCAACCTCAAGGCTGGAGAGATCGCTGAGATGGTACTCATAAGACCTGAGACCACTCAGGAGGAGCTGAACTCCTCCTCTGTCTTGGACGAGAACGTCCTGGAAGACATGAACAAGCAGCGTCAGGCGCGCTTGGGTTCTGAGATTCTCAAGAACCCCAAAGATCCGGTGTATCCTTTGGTGACGGAGTATGCGGACGTGGTGAATAAACACCCACCGACCCAACTCCCACCGGATCGAGGCGTACGGCACGAGATTGATCTCGTGCCCGGCACAAAGTATTGTGTCACGAGGCAATGGCCTCTCCCGCGCGAACAGTGCGAGGTCATTGATGCCTTCTTCGCCGCGAAAGCGAAGGCAGGCATGGTGCGGGAGTCGAAATCCCCGCACTCGACGCCGACTTTCTGCGTTCGTAAGCCGAACGGAAAGTGGCGTCTGGTTCACGCTTATAACAAGCTGAACAACGCAACGGTGCCGGCCCAAACACCGATCCCACGAAAGGATGTGTTGTTGAACAACATGGCCGGGAGCGTACTGTACAGTGCGCTGGATTTGGTAGACGGATACTACCAAATGCTGATGCGAGAGAGTGACATCCCGCTCACCGCGGTAAGCACTCCAAGCGGCATGCTTTGGGAGTGGCTCGTCATGCCGCAGGGCTTGTCTAACGCCCCGGCGACGTTCAATCGCCTGGTGACGCAATTGTTCCGCCCTTTGCGTACCTTCGTACAGACGTACTTCGACGACATTTTCGTCCATAGCCGTGCCGAGGGAGGCAAGACGGCCATGGAGGTGCATCTAGGACACCTCCGTCGAGTGTTGGACGTGATGCGAGCGAACCAGCTCTACGCCAACATCGACAAGTGCGTTTTCGCGTCACCAGAGATCAAAGTTCTCGGTTGCTTCGTAAGCAACGTGGGCGTTCGGGCTGACCCAGACAAGGTCAAGGCCATAGCAGCATGGCCGACGCCCCGATCCCAGAAGGATCTTCGAAAGTGGTTGGGTTTGGCCAACTACCTTCACAAGTACAGCGCTGGGTACGCGGGCTTCGCTAAGCCTTTGTCGAGCCTCCTTCAGAAGGACGTCGACTGGCGCTGGGAGCAAGAGCACCAGGATGCTTTTGACAGCATCAAGGCCAGTCTCCAAGAAGCCCCTGTCCTGGCTCTGCCGGACGAGACGAAGCCGTTTAGCGTCGTCTGCGATGCCTCCGATTACGCCATCGGGTGTGCATTGCTGCAGGACGACACGGCTGGACAGGAACGAGTCATCTCATTCCAGTCCAGGCAGCTCAAAGCCGCCGAGCGGAACTACCCTGTCCATGACAAGGAGCTCCTGGCAATGAAATATGCCCTTGTGAAGTTCCGTGTTCACCTTCTGGGCTCTACGCCCTTTGTGATCTACACAGACCACGCGTCCTTGAGGACGGCGACTAACTCGCCTCACCTCTCCCAACGGATGGCGAGGTGGCTGTCCTTCTTCGCGGAATATAACTTCCGCGTCGAGTACAAGCCGGGCAAGCTCAACGTGCTTGCGGACGCCCTCTCTAGGCGTCCCGACTATGAGTTGGCCCACATCACGCGGGTGACAACGGATCTATATGATCGGATACGCATGGCGTATCGGGACGATGAGGCTGTCGCGCCTATCGTCAAGTTCCTTAAGGCCGGAACGAGCGCGAAGTCCGACTGGCTCTCGTCGCGACAGCGCTCACGGCTCCACCGATATGAGTTGAAGGAGGGCCTCCTCTATTATCGGGTAGAGCCCACTGATCCTCCACGGGTGGTTGTACCCAACGACGAGGATCTGAAGTTCGACATCCTCGCGGAGGCGCATGACGCGCCCTCCAGCGGCCACATGGGCCGCGAGAAGACCTTTCTGTCGGTCTCTCAGTCCTTCTGGTGGACCCACATGTACAAGTGGGTCGCCCGGTACGTCAAGACATGTGAAACATGTCAGCGGGTTAAACCCGCAGGGCACTCTTCGGCTCCACTACAGAGCCTGCCCGTACCGGCTGATTGTTGGAAGTCGATGAGTCTTGACTTCATCTTTGGGCTTCCCGCCAACGGACACGGCAACACCGGAATTTTGGTGTTCGTGTGTCGGCTGAGCAAGATGGTACATCTTGCTCCAGTTCCCGTCACTGTGACGGGCGAACAAACCGCAAGGTTGTTCGTCGATGGCGTGTTCCGCTATCACGGTCTCCCGGAGACGATTGTCTCGGACCGAGACCCGCGGTTCACTGCTGCGTTTTGGAAAACGCTGTTCCCTTTACTGGGAACTCGTCTGCAGATGTCCACTGCGGATCATCCGCAGACAGACGGCCAAACAGAGCGCGTCAATCGAGTGCTCGAGGACACTCTGCGCAGTGTGTGCGCGGCAGCGCCACGTACGTGATCGACGCAGCATCCAGTTGTTGAGTTTGCGCTCAACAACGCGGTGCACGCGTCCACGGGGTTCACGCCGTTCTACTTGAACGGCTTCCGCCACCCCAGAGTGCCTCTCACTC